TCATAAGCATCTTGAAAGTAGATGATGCCGGTGGCCAATTCCTTAGATATCGAATTGATTAACCACGAGAGGACAACAACGTTGCACCTCTCCCATTGTGGCTGTAGATGGATTTCTTGATCTACTTTCTTGCACGAGCCGTCCACGAAACCAAGCTTATGCTTGCCGAGGAGGGCGATTCTCATCGCACGAGACCATACCGTATAGTTCTCTGTGCTGGTGAGGAGATGAGGAATGATCGTTGTTCCCTAGGTATCTGAAGGGTGTAAAAACAGGGGGTGTGAAAAGGGATGGCTTTGGCCGCAATCTTCTCCTCTCCAATTGGGTCTGCTGTGTATGGTTTGTGTGTGAGGTTCTTCAAGGGCTTGCGTCGATTGGCTCTATTAGGAACCCTAAACGACGGCGTGTGGCTCTGATGCCATGTTGATCAAGACGCCCTGCCTCTACTTTCCCAAACGCACAGCTTAGAATAATGAAATTGAATATTTCATTGATTGAAAAATCTGATTACACCAAAATGGGCCTACTGGACTCTATTTATAAAGGAGTCCTGACTATGTACAAAGACGGGCAGGCTTTTCACACATACACGCAACAGTCAGGTGCGGTCAGCCCATACAAAAACAAAACAAATAAGAAACATATATACAACATTTCCAATAATATCTAATATTTTAGCAAGGAACGTTTTAAGGAATAAAAAAGCATTTATTAAAATGTACGTTTTATGATATTTGCCTACTGCTTTCTTTATAAGAACAGATCAATTAACATGATTCGAAGCTTTGACAATGGTGTGCGCTCGCGATATGATGGATGAATAATGATTGATATAGAATAATCTTCCCTTTCTTATAAGAGGAGACGTTTGACAAAAACAAAGATACAAGAATTTTTATTTAAATCATCATGTGAATATTAATTACCTTTTTTTAATATTAGCACTCATTAAAGTCTGATGTAATTCTTTTATGACTCCTTAAGATGTAGTTTATACTTCTATATAATTATTTGATATTCTGTAATATATACTAAGTCAGATTTAAGCATTGTTTGAAATGTGAGAGAAAAATTTTAAATATTTTTCAGTTTTAACTAAAATCAGATAAGTTAATATCTTTCTTAGTTTTAGTGAGCTGCTTAAATATATCTTATAATAGAACAAAATTAAAAAGTCATTGCATATCAAGATTAAGGGCAACATGAGACTCCATAGTGAATTGGCAATCATGAGGCTAATTTAAATAAAGTCACAATTAAAAAAATAATATATATATATTTAACTTTTGGGCGGGTCATGAAAAGAATGCAAGCTTTCAAAGTTGATTCAGTTTTTACTTTTTAGATTTGAGATGAGATGAAGTGGCCCAAAAATGAGTTGCTGAATTTATTGATCATCTTCTTTCAGAGATTTAATTTAAAGAGATTATTTTTTCCCATTAAAAAGTTTTTCAACCTTCTATTATGTATTTTAGGCTTCAGACTTCCCCTCATGAGGTATGCTGCTTTCTTTAAGGAACACGTCAATTAATATGATGCAAATTTTGGCAATGATGGTTATGTATGTATTGGTTAAGTAAATGACAGATGAATTGATATAGAATAATATTCACGTCTTTATAGTAAGACCCTTTTTAAAAGAAACAAAAAAAATTTTATTTAAATTTTCAAGTGGATATTAATTATGATGCAATTTTTTTGGTGACTCCTTAAGATGTCATTCATATTGTTTTAGTTATTTGATATTCTGTAGTATATATTAAATCATATCTAAGTATTGTTCGACATAATTAGAAATAAATTTTGCATTTTTTTTTCACTTTCAACAAAAATCAAATAATTGAACCTTTTTTTTTCCTTAGTTTAGTGAGGACTTTAAGTCCATCTTATAATAGGAACAAAATCATTGCATATCAAGATTTAAGGACAACATAAGACTCATATTGAATCATAATTATGAGGCTAAATTAATTAAAGTGACAGTTAAAAAATTAATTCAATCAAAGTAGGAGAATATTTTATATAAAAAACAAAACATTCAATAAAAAATTGCTAAATAAAAGATCATCTCGTTCTCAAAGCGTGGCTGCTAGCAATCAATTATAAGTCATTTCATCCGATAACAATAATAATATAATAATAGAAAAGTGGAGTTATCTTTTTAAAAAATATATTTTGTTGAAGACTTTGACAAAAGTAACTGTTGATTAAGGAGAGTGATGTTTCCAGATCTGAGGATTGTTCAGTAGCAACTCATCTCCCATTACTGCACTTCTCGCGCTCTGCTAAACCCCTTTAGCTCGTTCTGATCTCAGAATCTCTTCTATTCTCTCTTCAAAATAGCAGTCTAATTTCCAGGGGGAAAAAAGGTAACAATACATAATATATTTCCTTTTAGCCGTATTTTTGTCTATTTATATTATTATATTAACTTGTATAGAGTTCAAGCTCTTCAATGGTGATTTTCAATATTAAGACTTATTCTGTATAACTGGATCTTGTAACTTCTAAAATTAAATATTTCATTTTAAAATTAGTAAGACTTATTTTTTAATTTGTTTGGCAACTACTGTGTTCACTGTTTTCTCTCTTTTATTTTCCTCTTCATCAATTTATTAGATATCATTTTTGGCAATAATGATTTTGCATTATCAAAATGTCTTATTTACCTTCTTGCTATATATATATATATTTATATAAAACTGCATGCAATTCTACATGTTTTTATATTCTTATTTTTTAACGTGACCGTTTCCTTTAGTATTCTCTTTATTATTGTTGAAATCTCAAAACATTTGATAAATACGCATTATGATACTTTTTGTATAGTTCTAATTATAATTTTGTAGCCATTTGATTTTTATATTGAATACTTTCAATTATAAAAAATTGGAAGTTTCTGGAAGAGGAGAACTGCAAAATGCTTATTCCTTGCCTATTAAAAAAATAGTTCAAAAGAGAAATGCATATTCCTTGTGATATCAAAAAATATTATATGAATGGATTAATTTTTGATCACTTTAATCTTATACTTGTTACATATTTTCTATTATAATTAAAGCTTTCGCTTGTCTTCCCCCCCCCCCTGTTTGTTAACAGGGCTTGTGTTCTTGTGTTTTGATTTGAGATTTCTTTTATTTACTCCCAGTTTATCTATGAAACGACATTGAAATCTCTTTTCCTAAAAAGGTAAGAATATATTCTAATGTGAATGTGTTTTTTTACTTTTATATTGTTTTATGTTTATATTATAATTTTTCTTTCACACACACACACACACACACATCAATTGGAGTATTCTTCCAATCATATTTAGCATTTTGATTATGACTTTCATTACAAACGGATATGCGAAACTGTATGTTTAGTTGCATTTGACTGGAAAAACAAGCGGGCCAGGAAGCTTCATACCTTTTTAGTTATTCATAGTTAGGTGTGTCTTTCTGTTATTTGATTAAGTTTTATTTGATTAAGTTTCTTTCTGTTATTTTTATATTGTGTTTATATGTTTTTATTACTATTTTCCTAACACACACATATTTATATACAAATATGGTATTGCATGATCCTTTTTGTTTTTTTTTTTAAAGAAGTACCCGATATAATATTATGAAGTTTGGACTTAGAAGTGTAAGAAATAGCATGAAATGAGCAAGCTACTGGACCCTAATTGAGAGGAGTCTTAGGAGTTTCCTGAAAAGATAGAAGGATTGTCAAGGACCAAATAGCAATGAGAGAGTTTTCTGGGACCAAGAAACAAGAAAGATAAAAACTCTGATGAAGTCTCAAGAGTTATTTACGGGAAATTGAAATGAATATAGGCTAGAAGTTATTATAATAGGGACCTTGATGAGATGGTTCCTAAGACTAAATCTTAGCTGGGACCTAATCGTAATTTTAATAAATTCCGGGATGTTACGCCTGACCAGGAAAAAAAAATAAATATAATATTCTGAAACTTGTTAAATTGTGGGTGCATAACTCTGTGTTCTTGTTTTCGAGTTCATCAATTGCTTTCTTCTCCCAAATGAAAACAGAAAAGAAAAAAAAACGGTTAGGATTTATGATCATCTTAATTTCATTCGCATGTTAATATGTGTAACACACACATAATACTATTAAGCCAATTCAATAAAGTTAAAGAGAACCTTGTTTGAAAGTTTTATTTCCAACTTTTTAATAAATGTTTTTTTTATAATAAAAAGGATAATATACTAACACAAATAATCCATGTAGACACTTGGCTACACATTTGCCACGTCGTTAGACCGGGAAAGTTTAGTTTGTGGAGACATATATATTGCGTCTTATAAAAATATTGATATTTATGGACTGTGGCTTTAAATATTTGTTAAGTTAATACAAAGGTAAAGTCTATCACGTAATTACTTAAGAAACAACATATATTTATAATCAATATATTATAAAAATCACATATTTTTAAATTTTATATGTTTTAGATTTTTTAAGAAATCTAAATGTTATATTTTTATCATTTTTAAATCATATTTTTGTTTCTCAATTAGGATAGAAGCATTAGACCACTCCAATAGAATTTCTCCACTTGAGAGCAAAACCATGATCACGTTTTCTTCTTTACTGGTAGAAGTTTTACCTAAATGAATACCAAAAACATAAAAATATTTCAATTTATGTATATTTTTTAGAATATTAAAAGTAATTTTTTCCTTCTAATTTTATGGGGTTTCAAATTTTAATGTAGTCTAAGTGACTTCCGATTTAAAACCACTACCCAAATCCAGCTTCAAAATGCATTCGTTGAGTCATAATATATGACCTATAGTGAATTTCTTTCAGGATTCATCTTCATGTATTTTACTTTCTAAGATGATTGTACTAAATACCCAATTAGTATATATTTTGCTCCCTTTTCAGTTAGTCTCCTTCATTCATCATCTTATTAAAATCATTATATCGGTATTTCACAACTTAAATCAAGATAGAAAGATAGAATAACATTAACTTTATTTCCATGTTAGATGGGGGGTATCCTTGCTAAACTTGTAGAGGATGAAGCCCAAAGTTTAGTGAACTTGGTGAAAAATGAAGCTCAATATTTATGTTGCTTCAATAGTTATGTTCAAGAATATGAGCAGGCAAAGGAAAGATTGAATGCAAAACTTGAAGATGTAAGGAGAATAATTGATCAAGCTAGTGGTGTTTCTCTTATCACATCTGTAGCCCTACAATGGACACGTAAAGCTGAAGAACTCATTGATGTTGACACTAAGAAAGAGAAATGTGACTTGTGTCGTAATTGCTGGCATCAATATCAGAAAGGCAAAGACTTGGCGAAGCGGACTCTAGATATTGACAAACTTCTAGAGGGATGTAACTTTGACATAGTAGCAAGTCCAATTGATCTTCCAGGTATAAAGTACCATTGCCTACCAAATTTCATGCATTTTGAGAGTAGAAAGTCAACATTTGAAGAACTTAAAAAGGCACTAGAAGATGAAGAAAACAATATGATTGGATTGCAAGGCTTAGGGGGAACAGGCAAAACCTCAATGGCAACAGAAGTAGGTGCTAAATTAGAAGGATCCATATTTGAAAAAGTCATCTTTCTTGTTGTCTCTAAGCTTCCAGATTTCAAAAAGTTGCAAGGTGAAATTGCTAGGAATTTGGGTTTGGAATTCAAGGATGAAGCGGAAGAAGTACTCCATCACAAAATATTGACCAAAATCAAAGCATCAAAAGAAAAACTTCTTATAGTACTAGATGATGTGTGGATGGAGTTTGATCCCACAAAGGAATTGGGGATTCCTCCTCATCACCTGCACAAGGGTTGTACTATATTGATAACGACCCGGAGCAAAGAGATTTGTGCAAAAATGGGATGCCAAAGACAAGTTTGTCTAGATAAATTGACCCCCAAGGAAGCATTGCCACTTTTCCTCAAGAATACTAATAGTTCCTCTAATTTGCAGAGTTTAGCACAAAAAATTGTGGAACATTGCCGCGGAGTACCGGTTGTAATTGTAGCTGTAGCAAGATCATTAAAAGATCAACCTTCTATAGTTTGGAAGGAAGCCTTGAGGAACTTGCAAAGTGGTGAGTCAATATTTAATGTTTGTGAAGAAGATTTGAAGAAGGTCTATGAAGGTTTGAAGCTGAGCTATGATAATTTGAAAAATGAAAAAGCCAGAAAGCTCCTATTGATATCTTCTCTATTCCCTGAAGATTCTAATATTCCTATGGATTTTTTAATTAGAATTGGTGTAGGAATGGGCCCTTTTGGTGAGGAAGTTGATGACTACAGCAAAAGAAGAAGAAAAGCACTTGATGCTATAGTGGAACTCCTAGGTTCTTCTTTATTGTTGAATGCGAAGAGGGAACGTGTAAAGATGCATGATTTGGTTCATGAAGTAGCCATATTGATAGGAGAAAAGGATATTCAATTTGTTATTGAATCTAAACAGCCTAAGAAGGGCTTGCAATGTTTATTTTGGGAAGGCAATTGCTTTCCAAGACACTTTGATGGTAGAAACCTTGAGGTTTTACTTTGGGTTCTAGATAACTCAGAGGATTTGGAAGTCCCTGATACATTCTTTACAGTGATGAAAAATCTCAAAGTTTGGTTTCTACGGAGTGAAGCTCTCTATCGAACTTCAGCCCCATCACTATTTTTGTCAATTCAGTCATTACAAAATATTCGAACTCTCAGGATAAAAAATTTTGAATTATGCAATAGCATCTCTATGTTGGGAAGGTTACCAAATCTTGAGAGTCTATGGTTTGATGATTGTTCAATTATTAAATCACCTGGGGAAAATTTTGAGTTAGAGAAGTTGAGATTCTTAAGGATAGAAAATTGTGAAATCAATATGAGCAATCCTTTTGAACTGGTTGAAGCATGCCCAAAGCTAGAGGAGTTGACTTTTTTGAGTAATAAGTATGATGAGAAGGAAATAGAAAATACAATTTCTCATAAAGCATCTTTTCATATGTTACCGAAGTTACAGATATATCAAATATCTTGTGATCGTCAGGGTGAATTTTTAGATTATTTTGAGCGATGTCGTTCCCTGTCAAGATGCTTTAAGCCAAAGAATTTAAGGCACGTCATCTCTGAGGCAACATTTTGGCAACTTGCTGAAACAGCTGAGCTTCTCATATTAGAGGGTCATAGAGAAACAAAGCAGAAAAATCTTATCCCTGATATTGTTCTAGTAGACAACAAAGGCATGACTGACTTGATCATTCTTAAATTGGATTCTTGGCCTGAAATGCAATGTCTCATTGATGCTGTGAACAATCGCTTTGACGTGAAGAATGCTTTTTCCAATTTAGTTGGACTATATCTTTCTAAAATGGGACTGAGCAATATATTATTTAGTGGCCACTATAACCTGTGTCATCTGAAGACCTTGAAACTGGACGAGTGTCCAAAGCTAACGTCAATTTTCCTCCCATCCACTGCTCAAAGTCTTTTGCAGTTAGAAGAGTTGAACATTGACAGATGTGATGCATTGAAATGCATTGTAGAAGATAAGAGTTCAAGAGGGGAAATAGCTTGTGATGATGGTGACAATGATCAAAAGAGCTATGACACTTTGTTTCCAAAATTTAAAATTCTTGAAATTGATAGTTGTCACAATTTAGAAATAATATTGCCAATCCTTCTTGGTGGATGGCCTTTGGAAAGAATAACCATATGGCGGTGCAAGAAGTTGAAATATATATTTGATAAATTCCAAGAGGTCAATGTTATGCTCCCCTCTCTGGAAAGAATGACACTTGTTAGACTACCAAGTCTGGTTGGTGTTTTCAGGGAGTATGAAAAATCCATCTCTTTGTCACCGCAACAGCCAGGACCGACACCTCCAAGCACCAAGACATGCTCTTTCTCTTGGGCTCAAGTATGTTGTTTTAAATCAAAGGCCACACTTGAAGAGGCTGATGGTGCTGTTTCTACAAGGACATTGCTTGACGAAGAAATCCCACAGGTATGATAAGCTCGCTTCACTACTTATGTTCAGATTTCTTTTACATTGAAGTCTCTCTCTTGTGAATTATACATTGTTAATTTACAATTAAATAAAATAAGGTATGAGTGTTAAAAATGTTTACCGTGATCCTTGGTATGATACATTATTTAAAATTAATTTGTAAGTACTTGTTTTTGCATGATTGACTGAATCTGTAACAAAATTTTGTAAATAGATCTTTTTATAACAATTGTTCCTCGGTAAAAATTCACGTACATAAACATATTCATGCGCATGCAACAATGCCTTTTGTTGCAAGAAATATAGTTAACAATGCTTAACACATAAAAAATTTATGATATATCTTTGTTGAATTTCTTGAAATTATAATCGGATAATGATAGTTTCCTAGATTTCAACCAAATTACACATCATCTACAACAAAAATCTTCATTACCTCTAAGTTATTTTCCTAGTTTAGATATCTATGAGCATTATGATTGCGTAAACAACAATGTCTTTTTGAAGGGATTACTTGCATCAAAGAAATGGATTGATACTGCTCCTACACCTGGGAGACAACTAGCACTCCATGTTGCTGGTCATATCAGGAAGATGACACTTGCATATCTCTCTTCAAATTCAGTATCAACTTTGTTCACTTTATCTATGGCATCAGCGATATCATGGGAAGAATTGACAATCAGGGGTTATTATAGGCTGAAGCACTTGGTAACGAGCGAGGGGGATGATTATAAAAATGAAATCAATTGCAGTTCCATTTTCCCAAAGTTACAGAAACTTGAAATCTCATCGTGCAAGGGCTTGGAATTTTTATTTCTGCCTGCAATATCTATAGAAATTAAGAATTTAAAGTCCTTGACTATTGATGATGCTCCTCAGCTAACATATGTTATTGAGAAATACCAGCATCAGCATCGTTTATCCAATCAAAATCAGAATGACGAGTGGCACTTCGATCTCCCTGCTTTGGAGGTCCTCGATTTACAGGAAGTACGTAAGTTCAGCAGCATTGGTCCCATGAATTATAAAATGGTGTCACCATCTCTACCACACGTTTGTTCAGACAAAGCACAACTGAATTTGAATACCACAAAGGTAACTCTCTCTCTCTCTCTCTGTGTTTTTTTTTTGGTGACAGAAAAGGGCACGGCCTTGAGTAATGCTCTCTTTTTGTCTTGATGTTGTTAGTTCTCTATTGATATCCTTACTCAAAAGTGAAATATAAAAAAAAATGAGGTTTGAAAACACTTCATAAAATTTTTTTTGCCTGTGATTGATACTTAATTTGCGAAATTTCTTGAAATTATAGTTGGATAAAGAGAGTGTAAAAATATAGTCAGATGAAAATTGACTACATGATGTGCTAGTTTTCTAGATTTCATGCGTGTCTACAAATATCACTTGAAAATTCAACTGTGTGCGTATGTAGATATCAAGTGTCAAAAAGAAATATATCACGGATACAATGAAACACTTTATAAATTTTTTTTTGTTAATGACCACGAATTTTAAAAGTTTCAAAAAAGAAATTAAGATCATTGGTTAGAATTAAATGTTTTATATTGATTCTTTTCTATATTCTTCATTTTTCAAGTACATAAATTTAACCACTTCAATTCTTGTTTTTAATATTTTCAATATTCATATTTTCAATTTTTTTAATACCTAAATTTCTTTTTTCCCCCCCAATTACTCAACTTCGATGTTTTCAACATTCATTTAGTTTCTTTTGTATTGAAAGCAGTAAAAAGAGTAGTAAGTAGATAAAAGTATTGAAAACATTGAAATAGCAGAATTACAAAAATTAATGTCGATTAGTAAGAAAATCATCTCAACAAAACTTTTGATTTCAACCAAGGAGTTTGATCCATACTTGATATTTTTAAAATTCACAGTCCTTTATATAATTAATATTTATAGGAGATTGTTTGGTTAAAAAATGTTTATAGAAGATGCTTAAATGTCATTTTTACATACAAACATTAATTATTTTGATACAAAAAATCCAATTATTTATGGATTTTCTAATATGCTAATCCTTTTACATTAATTTTTTGTTTATTAATATTAACCAAATGTGGCGTTTTAACTCAAAAGGGTGATAAAGACGAACATTTAAAAATGAACATATTACACAACAAATTATATTAATTTATAAATACGTTGATCATATTGTCATTGTGAAGTGAAACATATATTAATTTGACACAATCATTTATGAATATTCTAATATAGCAAGCTTTTAGATTAGTTGATTGTCGAGCCATTATAAATTAGAATATTAGAATGGAGCACAATAATTCAAAGGGTTAGATTCAAGAAAGACGATGAACACATGACAACGAGAGATATAATAAATTTATTTTTGGGAATAATTAAGACAAGGTATCAAAATAATCTACTTTTTGGTTAAATTGATGCATATTGACACTTTATGAAGACTCATAATTATCGTTGTTTTGATATATTGTTATGCTTTGATATTATTTAATTTGCTGTACATTACTGCATATAAAAATTTTACTTATGGTTTGTTTTCGTATAAGAATGATCTATTTTACTGATTGATGTTACGTTAAAAATATTTTGAAATATTATGTACTACTGTATATTCGAATTTTACGTATTGTTTGTTTTGGAATAAGAATGATTTATTTTCTTGATTTAACTATGCATTGATTTGTGTTTGTAGGAATTAGATGCATCCACCGAAGGAGTTCCTCCTTTCCTTGTAGCTCAAAGCCTTTTGGTGCAATCATCGAAGAATTTAAGGAAAATAAAACTTAAGGAATGTGGGAACTTAATATCACTGTCAACTCTCTCCATTGCGGCCTCAACAATTTCGTTGGAAAGTTTGGGAATCTGGGAATGTCATAAACTGAAGTGCATCACAACACATGAGGGAGATGCTCAAGCTGATAATAAGAATTATTGTTCCATTTTTCCAACACTAGAGAAACTGGAAATCAAGGATTGCAAGGAATTGGAATTTGTATTTCAATCATCAATATCCGGCGGCCTTCAAAAATTGAAGTCTTTGACTATTTGGGAAGTTCCTGAACTAAAATATGTTGTTGGGAACTACCAGCAAGATCAGCAAAATGAAGAGCTGCATTTCGAGCTCCTTGCTTTGGAGACCCTCTCCATCAAAGATGCGCCAAAGATCAAAAGCATTTGCGCCAAGAATTATAAGATGGTGCTGTCATCTCTTCAGAATGTTGTGATGGTGCATTGCAGCATTAAATCTTTCGATGATTATGACATGGTGAATTTGACGACTTCAGAGGTACACTCTCTTTTAACTTCTGTGCATATGATTTGTTCTGTTTTGATCATGTTAATTACAAATGGAGTATAATTTGATCAAAATGAAATTATTTATGACCGTCTTTATATGTTGAGCTTTTTTTGTGTGTGCTCAATTTAGCTTTTAGATTAATTTTTTATTAACAAATATTGAATTAATTCTTGCCTAACAACTTGGGTGATATTAATATATGGTTACCAATAAAGACTTTGAATAAAAAAAAAAAAGGTTATGAATGGATTATGCAAATTATCATGTAAAATTACGTCATTTAGCTCGATATATATATATTTGGGAAAATGAAACTTTTATTACTCAAAATTTCAACCCGTTGGTGTTTTAATTAGCATTAATTTGGTGTTAATGATTTCAAAATGTCAGAAAATATATCTCAAGCTTTGAGTGCCTTATTGACATCAATACAATTTCAGTTAATGTGCTGTGTTCTTTTTTTAACCACTCTTATACTTAGGTATGTGGATAATTTAATTATTTATTTAATGAAATTGTATGGACCAAGTTAATATTAAATAAAACATTTGGGTCAAATTGCAAATCTTTTATCTTTATCCATATGTCGGATAGAATAACACACACAAAGGCAATAATCATTTCAAATTGAAAATATTTTTTTTCCATTATAAACTTTTTACGTAATTTTTTATTAACAAATTATCAAATGGAATGGGGCGTAAGGGAGCTCATAAAGAGTTGAATTAAGTTTTTATTTGCTCTGATATTATTTGTTGTATATGATATGACTACATAAACAATTTACATACTCAAATTTTACTGATTGTTTTTTTCAATAGATCTTCAATGATTGTTTGTTTTGGAATAAGAATGATTTGTTTTACTAATTTTTGCTATGTTGAAAATATCTTTGATTTATTATGTATTATTATATATTTCAATCTTGCATATTGTTTATTTTAAAATAAGAGTGATTTATTCTGTTGGTGATGGATATAACTTTTTAAAGATTTGTGTTTGTAGGAATTAAATTCATCTACAGGTAGAGTTACTTCTTTCCATGCATCTCAAGTCTTATTATGTATTAATGTATATTTAAATTTTATATATTGTTTGTTTTGGAATGAGAATGATTTATTATGCATTGATTTGTGTTTGTAGGAATTAGATGCATCCACAGAAGGAGTTCCTCCTTTCCTTGTAGCTCAAAGCCTTTTGGTGCAATCACTGAAGAATTTAAGAGAAATAAAACTTAAGGAATGTGGGAACTTAATATCACTGTCAACTCTCTCCATTGCGGCCTCAACAATTTCGTTGGAAAGTTTGGGAATCTGGGAATGTCATAAACTGAAGTGCATCACAACACATGAGGGAGATGCTCAAGCTGATAATAAGAATTATTGTTCCATTTTTCCAACACTAGAGAAACTGGAAATCAAGGATTGCAAGGAATTGGAATTTGTATTTCAATCATCAATATCCGGCGGCCTTCAAAAATTGAAGTCTTTGACTATTTGGGAAGTTCCTGAACTAAAATATGTTGTTGGGAACTACCAGCAAGATCAGCAAAATGAAGAGCTGCATTTCGAGCTCCCTGCTTTGGAGACCCTCTCCATCAAAGATGCGCCAAAGATCAAAAGCATTTGCGCCAAGAATTATGACATGGTGAGTTGTTGAGTTGTAGCATTAAATCTTTCGATGATTATGATATGGTGAATTTGACGATCTCAGAGGTACACTCTCTTTAACTTCTGTGCATATGATTTGTTCTGTTTTGATAATGTTAATTACAAATGGAGTATAATTTGATCAAAATGAAATTATTTATGGCCGTCTTTATATATTGAGTGTTTTTTTCACTCAATTTAGCTTTTAGATTAATTATTTATTAACAAATATTGACTTAATTGTTGCCTAACAAGGGTGATATTGTTATATGGTTACCAATAAAGACTTCAAAATGAATGGATTATGCAAATTAACATGTAAAATTACGTCATTTAGTTCCATATATATATTTGGCAAAATGAAACTTTTATTACTCAAAAGTTTCAACCCGTTTGGTGTTTTAATTAGCATTAATTTGGTCTTAATGATTTCAAAATATCAGATAAAATATATCTCAAGCTTTGAGTGCCTTATTGACATCAATACAATTTCATTTAATGTGCCGTGTTCTTTTTTTAACCACTCCTATACCTTATACTTAGGTATGGGGATAATTTAATTATTTATTTAATGAAATTGTATGGACCAAGTTAATATTAAATAAAACATTTGGGTCAAATCTTTTACAGATTCCGATCTTTATCCATGTGTGGAACAGAATAACACACATAAAAGCAATAATCATTTTAAATTGAAAAGACTTTCTTTTCCATTATAAACATTTTATGTAATTTTTTATTAACAAATTATCAAATGGAATGGGGCGTAGGGGAGCTCATAAAGAGTTGACTTAAGTTTTTATTTGCTCTGATGTTATTTGTTGTATACGATATGACTACATAAAAAATTTACATTCTCAAATTTTACTGATTGTTTTTTCTAATAAATCTTCACTGATTGTTTGTTTTGGAATAAGAATGATTTATTTTGCTAATTGTTGTTATGTTAAAAATATCTTTGATTTGTTACGTATCATTATATATTCCAATCTTGCATATTGTTTATTTTAAAATAAGAGTGATTTATTTCGTTGGTGATAGATATAACTTTTTAAAGATTTGTGTTTGTAGGAATTAAATTCATCTACAGGTAGAGTTTCTCCTTTCCATGCATCTCAAATATTGTCGGTGCAATCATTGAAGAATGTTAGAAAAGTAAACCTATGGAGATGTTGCAACTTGATATCATTGTCAACTCTATCCCTTGCCTCAACAATTTTGTGGGAAGATTTGAAAATATGGGAATGTCATCAACTGAAGTGCATTGTAGAAGATGAGGCAGATGCTGGAACTCACATGAAATACAATTATTCCATTTTTTCAAAGTTGAAAACTTTACACGTTTTAGACTGCAACGCATTGGAATATTTATTCCCAGCATATGCTTTCACATGCTTTCATATGCTTTCGTCCATTATTTTGGGAGAGTTTTCAGAGTTTACAAGACCTTTCAAAGAATTTTTATTTTGTTGCCATACGAAACAACTGGGAAAAAAGGTATGACTCTGTTCGACTTCTCTTGCTTGTGTTAATATATCCCCAATTGATAAGTTATATTATAATAATATTTTCCCTACTTCATTCATATGATCTCGTAAGGAAGTTGAAAAAATAATATTATCTCACTAATCCTCTATTTTTGTAAACTATAAGGGCTTTTTTTTTTTTGGTTGTTTTCAGACAACATGTTTGAAAAAATAACATTTATATTTAAAACTCAAATTTATTTGTTTCTTCTGAATTTTTATTTAGTAGTTTCGGTCACTGTAAACTCTACCAAGATTTTGTTCAAACTGGACTGCCCATTTTAAAGTTCTTTTTGTTAGAAAAATAAATTTGGAATTGATTTATTTTTTTATGGATTTTGTAGGCAGTGGAGATGTGCGGTCAAACTCCAAAAACTCTAATAGTTTGGAACTCCAAAATAAAAGAAATTGTTGATTTGACACATTTGAAGACAGAACAAAATGGGGATGGACTTGAACCATTGACATCAAGTTTCCAAAAGTTGATGTTGCAAAATCTAAGTGAGTTGGTGAATATATGTGCGGGGCCTAAACATATCATATACTTCCATAGTCTTCAGGAGCTAGCCATTTGTAGATGCAAAAAGCTTAGAGTTATCTTCCCTCCATGTATGGTGAGAAGCCTACCAATGTTGCAGAAGCTAGATATATCAAAATGTGAAGAATTAGTAAGCATTGTTGAAGAAGATTATGAAACAAATGATGATGCTCATTATTTGTGCCATGAACTATGCTTTCCCAACTTAGAACAAGTCTCTGTGAATGATTGTGACAAATTGAGGTACTTGTTCTCTATCACTATTTCTGGTATCATTCCAAAATTAAGATGTCTTCAGATAGAAAAAGCCTATGAGCTTGAGCATGTACTAGTAAGGCAAGGTGATATGAAAGAGATGGTCATGAAGGATGTGCTTCCACAGCTAACTCATTTGAAACTGATGGATCTTCCCAACCTTGTTAGCATCTGCCATGGGATAGATTTTCAAATTTTGAAAGTAGATGATGACACAAAAGTGTCTAAATGTCCGAGCTTTTCTTTTTATGGTATGTATTAAGAGAAGTAATTTATTCTTTATAAAATTGAAAATTATTATGAGTTTTATAACAACATTAAAAATCCTACTTGCAGAAATTTCAACTAGCCAGCTTCAAGCAAACCTTGAAACAACACATTCTCAAATGGAAGAAAAAGTAGAGGAGAAGCTTTCTTCTCATCTCAATACCAAACAATCTTTAAATATGGGAGAAGCAACACCACAATCCCTCGTGAAGGTATGATTTTGATTGCTAATGGCATCATTTTACTGCTTCTCCATTGTCCCCATCATGATTATATGTACGTCTAATTGTTTAAATTCTATCCTTTTGATGAGAAAAACAGAGTTTGATGAGAAAAACACGTGTGTTTTCCCATTGCTTAATGAATTTGACATAAGCTGGAAAAGAAAAAACTTGAAGTTACAGCGTATTGAAGAAACAATACATTCCACTATGGTAATCAGCATGTTACTTAAAAAAAAAAAAAAAACCAAAAGCGACATCATCATCATTTGATTGAATTTTTTTGCCACATCATTCTGTTCAAATTTTATAAGGTGATAAACTTTAAGATTTATTTTAATTTTGTTAAGCACTGGGTGGGAAATTTGAAATAAAAATTAATAAATAATAATATTTCTTCTAATAAAAGAAATAAATAAAATTACTGTCAAACCTTATTCTAGGGTCACTAATTAAATTAAAGATGTTTAGCCATTTAAGAACCACTTATAACCCCTTAGAATCCCAAAAAGATCAACAATTAACTTTTTCCCCAAAAAACTTAAGTTGCTATCACCTGTTGTTGAGATGAGATTTTCTGAGATACTTTAAAGATTTATAACTAATTCAATATAGTTATAAAAATAGTGGTTCCAAGCTCTAATTTTAGCTCTTGAAAAGCTTTTTGTTCTGACTAATTCTTAACTTTTTCCCCACACCGTACTACATTTGAAACCATTGAAGCCTTTAAATTAATCAATGTTCACTTTTATACCGTAAAGCATGCCGGCTGAACAGGGCTTTACTAATTTCATTTTGTGTTTAAACTTATGATAGAGACTTGCTACTAAAACTTAAAGCTCATTACTAAATCTTAACCAAAACTAAACTTCCTCTTACTAAAACTATGCTATCCAAAACAGGACCTAAGTGAAAAGCTTATAAAATTTAATATTTTTATTGCCAGTCACTTTAAAAGACTCATCAGACCCAAGCTAGGAGCCTTTCGACGTGCCTTTGGTGTAGTTTGGGAATCTAAAACAATTGTTCCCTGTTATAACATGTCAAAACAGTAACATTTAAACCTCTTTAAGTTACAACATTTTAATTCCATAAACATCTACATGGCGCTGTCCAAACAGCGGATAAGAATTAAAGTTCACAAAGCTAATGCTTTGATATTCCCATTGCCTATCCAATCACTATATATAGGAGCCGCTACACCCTTTGCATGCGTAGTTCATCCACTTTTAAAGTGTTGGACAGCCTTCCATTTACATTCTCAAATTTTCCAAATTCATAAACTCCTCTTAAAAATACATTTAGGGGTTTAGACTTTAGATCCATCCAAACTTAATTCTCTCCCTACCAGTTACTTTGGCCGAACAAGGGAGCAGAATAAAACTTAGTTCCCACTTAGATATAAATTTAGTACATAATTAAACATTATAACAGTGGGAAAAATTCAGCTTCCCAGTTCCAGATTTCAGCTCCTATAAGAGAAGTCAAATAATAATAGTCCCCTGAAACAAAAGCTCCAGATTCAAAAATCCACTTCTTCTCACACAAATCAACATGCATGGAATAAAATGAACCCCTACAAGCTTTGATCCATCATCTAAAAACCAGATTTAAACCTCTCATGTATTTGAAGAACACACAGCCACTGGAAAAAATATTGATGGAATAAGGTTTAAGCTCCTTACTTGGTCTAAACGTTCGGCTGCAAGTGAGGGGAGAGCTTTCTTTCTTCTTCGATCACTTCTTTGCCTCCCCCCAGCTCGCTCTTTCTTTGCTGTTGCAAGGGCGAAAATGAATGTGAGGCAACATACATACATAAATATATATATATTTTACTTATTCCTTGCAAGTTTACCCCATGAGCTTCTTACTTTGGCATTTAATGAATCCCAACCCAACAAATCTGATGCTCTTCTTTTTTGGACAAGTTCACCACGTACAATGCTATTTAAATTGGGCTATGCATTGATCCAATTTCCTTTTTAGGTTTGAGAAAGTGAAATTGCTGTTGTACCTATCACTAATAAGTACTCCCTTGGTCCTTTCTATGAAAGCAAGAAATTTGAATTGCCCAAGTTCTTTTTATAAAAGCCTACCTAGGGTTATCTGAACATTTAATATGCTCTTATCATTTTTGTCCCTAATTAATTTTATACATTGTATTAATTAAAAAGTTGACAACTTGACATATTAAATTCTCTTTCATACTTTCTTTTATTATTACTTTATTTCTCTTTCTTGCTTACCCCCTTATAAATAAGGGTATACTAAAAAAAAGGTATTTCTCATATATTTATTATTTTTAATTAATTTTATTATTTTCTTAAATCGTATAATTTAGTTATCATGTTCTTTTTAACTGAACTTTCCCATTAAATTTCAAAAACTAGTCTAGGACACTTGATATGAAGTTTTTTTAACTTAACTTCTCCAAGCTCCTAAAATAATTTTTCTAAAACTTTAAGGCTGAGCATTAGCCTCTAACTATTTTCACGTCAATTTTTTTTAATAAATAGGCCCTTCTCTCCCATAAATTGGTTTAAAATTATTAAGTTATTTTTGGAAAATATAAGCCCCTTCATAATATTTCTAAATTCTCAAAACAATATTTCATAATATTTTTCACATTTTTCCTAGGCCTTAAATAATTTTAATAATTATTTTTCTTTTTATTTCCTTAAATTCTCATATAAAATAGGCTTTTTGATCAATATATAATTCATTTTTGAGACATTTATATTCTAAATAAGAATAAATATTCATTTAGTCTTTTAATTTTATATAGAGTTTCAATTTGATCCTTTAACTTTAAAAAGTATATTTTTTAATCATTTAATCCTAAAATTATTAACAAAAAAGATAACATTAAAATCTTAAATATTAATAAAACATTCTCAAATGTTAATTTAATTTTCGAAACAACCATAATTGTTACAAAAAATATCATCTAAGTCTAATAATTTTAGAATTAAAGGACTAAAAATATACTTTTTAAAGTTAATGGACCAAATTAAAATCTTGTATAAAGTTAAAGAATCAAATATATACTTTAGTCTTTAAATAATGTCCCTAAACATCAGATGTGCTTTGAAAATCTTTTCTCTACTTTTTGGGATTTCTCTCTAATTTTTGGGCATCTTTTTATAATTATAATTTTGCTCTATATTGTCTTATTTAAACTTTTTCTTTCCAACTTTTGGGTCAACTTAACTTATTTAACCAGTATTCAAAATTCAAATGTTATAATTACTACTAAATATTAGCTAAAAATTAATTCTTTTTCATGCTGAATAATTAGAACTGATTTAAGAAAGATACCAGCAAAACTAAGATTAAATGATTTTTATTTATAGATTTTTATTCTTTATTTATGTCTCTATTACACAATAATTTTCTTTCCGTGCTTTACAGTTGTGATATGAACCCAATTATGTTTTTTCCCCCTAAAAAATCTGGTTGCTAGTAGAAAAACATATAATTTGAAGGGGATATTTAAAATACCAACAATAAAATCTAACACACATAGATATAGTGTGTATATTCCAAATTTTTGATGAATTTGACAAGAACTAGAGCTCGTTTTTATCGTTGGATTCAAAAAATTTTTAAGACTTATTTGTTAGCCAATCTCCGTAAAGCTTCTTTTTATATATTGGGGTGTTGGTTAGAGTACAAAGAAAGCAACTACACTAATTTATGATCATTGTTTTATATGGCCATTGGTTTCTAATAGAAGGCGCCAATTCATGCAAGTCCCAACCTCACTGTTCTTCCTACAAGAGACAACACTCATGCAAGTGCCGAAATTTTTGAAGAGGGAGAGGGAGAGGAAGGTAAAATATTGATGTGTTTGTTTTGTAGAAAATACTGGTTGATGGTGCTCGAATTTTGGGTTTTACAGAAAGTGTGATAACATCTCGACGTCCTCAAATAAGTGGCATGAAGTCTAGCAATTCGTTATTAGAGGAGGAGTCCAAAACCTCTATTGATGGTACTTGTTGCTTTCTTTAAATGAGGTATTTCATCATTTGTTTTGATATAATAATAATTTTTTCATAGATAACCCAGCTGTGCCACCTGAAACAATTATTTCAAACGAGCAAACTTCTAAGGCAATCTTGCCATTGAGTCCTATGTCAACAAAAGCTTCAACAAGCCTCAATCAAAGTCTTTCAACCGTTCTCCCCAAGCCTTCCAATGGTGATTTTCTTTGTTGTCATCTTATAGTGACATTTCATTCAAGTTTTATTCATACATAGTAGAAGCTAACCTTGCTACAGCGAGTGTCACTAACCTTGCAGAAGACTCTAGTCTATGCCTCATTAGTGATTCTACCTATTATAAATCTTCATTTGCTTTTGCAATTACATTTTGGATTGTTTTCATTTTAGCATTATATTTCTTGATTAATTTAGGAAGAAATCTTCAGAATGACGTTGAAACCACTAACCAACAAACTTCTACAGTTACAGATGATGTTCAAGCTTCTCACAAATCCCTTGGCCATACTGCCGTCTCAAGTGGAAGTGGTAATATAAGAGTTGATACAGGTAACCTAATACACAAAAGGAATAGGAATATTATTTAAATGTATTCATGCAAACATATGAAAGGTAAATTATTCGGGTTTTAATATAAGAAATTGGAAAAATCTTCCATCGTACATGATTGTTCCAAATTTTCTTTTTATGGTATGCATTCGAAGAAGCCAGTCATTAATTCAAATTGAAAATTATTATGTACTTGCAGAAACTACAACCACTCAATTTTCTGATGACTGTAAAAATCAAGATTATTCTAAGGTTTGGGAAGAGACAGAGCAGAATCTTTTTTCCCATACAAATGGAAGACAAGCCTTAGAACCCCAACAATCCACAGCTGGTTCCTCAAATTTCAAAAGAGTATATCTCATTTCATTGCTGTACATATATTATTTTTGTTAATGGCATTTTATTACTTTCTTTTGTCACCAGCATGATTATGTCTACAAGCTTTAATCATATGCCACCATGCATTCACTAGTATAGCATATTCATTTTCTTTCTCTTTCTTTGTTTCAAAGTTATCTTGAAGCAAACCAGGATTTTTTACTCTAAATGTTGGCATAAAAATTTGAATTTGATGTCATATTTGAAAACCGAATAAAACTACAATCATATACAGAGACACGTGCACATTTTCATTCATAACTAAACTTTTTTATCATGTGGCGTTGGTTAGGGTACTAACAAAGATGCAAAGGAAATCGTTGAAGAGGGTCTTATTTTTGAGAAGCCAAAGATGACAAATTTATCATCTGATTCAAATGTAATAGGACAATCAGCATGTTTTATCTCTTTATCTGTTTATGAAGGGAATATCTAAGTATTATAAACAAAACCGGTCCATAAAATGCACCTTCAAAAGTTATATTGTTATTATCATTATCATCATCATCTTTTACCTGTAGATTATTATTCTTTATTCATGCTAGCTTGTTCGAACTTTTGCCTTTTATATATTTATCTTTCACATAGGACGAATTGGTGGGCAAAGTGGCGAGAAATGAAAGAACCATGATCGATCCACAACAATCTACATTGGGCTCACATAGCTTTACAAAGGTACATTGGATGGTATATCAAATGCAGCCTAAAAAATAAGTAGTAACCATTTTGTTTGGTGCAGGTTAATTTAAAAAAAAAAAAAAGTGGTATTCAAGTACACCTCAGAGCCAAAATTCAAAAGAAAACTGAAACATCAACTAATTGATTTAATTAGAACTAATAAAAGTAATATGAACTACAAACGTAGCATTTAGTTCCTTATAGAATTAATACTCAAATGTGACTTATTGTTATTTCTAAGATCAATACATATATTTATGCTAGATATTTGAACTTATGTCCCTCTCATATTTATCTTCACATAGGATGAGTCAGTCAACAAAGAAGTGAAAACAGAATCAATAATCATGATAGAGCCTCAGTCAGTCAAAAGAAGAAACGACAAGATATGATATACGATCTCACGAGGATGAAGAAGAGGAAGAGGAAAGAGAAGGTAACATATATATTAGTGTCTTGTCTTATAAGTAATATATTGGTTACTTATTTTGGGCTTTGCAGGTGGCTTGATAACTATCCGACATCGTCAAAGTGACATAAAAGCAAAGAACTCTTTCCTAAAAGAAAAGCCTAAGACTTCCATTCATGGTACGATAATCAATTGCTTTCTATAAATGAAATCTTTTATCCTTAGATCATTTGACAACTATATTTTCTGTACACATGTTTTCATAGGAGACCCATTTGTGCCATGCACGACAACTGTTTCAAGTGAGCAAACTTCTAAGGCAATCTTGCCACAGGGTCCTAAATCTTCAAAAGCTTCACTCTGCAAGCCTACTGGTAGTGAGTTTCTTTGTACCCTTCTTTGAGTGTCGTCTTTCTCGATTAATTTTTAGATAGTTTTCATTCTATCATTAATTCACTAGTTTAAGAAGAGATAGACGAAATGGTTTTGAAACCACTAACCAGCGAACTCATGGTGTTGCAGATGATATTAAAGTTTCTGATAAGCCTCCTGCCACTGTCATTGGTAATGGTGTACCCATGCCACGGCCAACGACTAGAAACAAGGGTGTTAATAACGACAAGGACATCAATGAGACAAATGTAACCCAAGATGAATCCAAGACAAAAATGGCGTCCCGTGGTGGCCAACCAAATTCAAGTGAGCATGTGGCTGATGACCCAAGCAATCTTTGGCAGTTGGAACAAGAGCTATCATGTTCTAGAGGTTATCTATATATTCCCTTTAATGTTAACCATGTTGCTTTGGGCCACTTAAATATTCTACTAATAATGTGATGGTTTATTAGGCCAAATTAAGCATCCTGATGTGACAAAGTCATCAAATATTAATACTGAGCATGCACAATCTTCGTTGCTTCCATTTTCTACTCCTTCAGATTCGGCAGCTTCTGTTCTTGAGACTGACCAAGCTTTGAATATTAGTGGAGTGCAAGAGATAGTTGAGATGATGAAATTAGAGGGTTCTGAGACTTCTTTATTGGAAGAGGCACTCAAGACTCACCCACAGCTGCATCTGTCTACAAATGATCGAAGCACCCAAATGCTGTGCATATCCTATAGGGTATTGATTGATATACTCCACATTCTAACCACCAGAACACCTTTCACAATCACTGAGGCAGACAAAAGGTTGTTGGAAGAGAAATTAAAGGATGCTCGTTTTGTTGGTTTCGATAAGGACTGGCTTGAATCTATCAAGACTAAGGTTTTTAATAGTGATGTATCTGATTTTGACGGCATCCAAGAAATTATAATGGGTTTGGACAGTGATCTCAAGGCCAATGAGGCGATGCTTGCGGCTACTCGAAATCAAGAGGTTAAGGCAGCTCGAGTGGCCGAAATGGCTCAAAAGGACCTGGAAGCTGCGTTACAAGAGCATGCAAATGTGATGGCAAATCATACTCAACGTTTGAAGGCCCGACAAGAGATTCTAGCAAGGCAAAACCAATACTGGGAAATGATTGCTGCTAAAAATAAACATTTTGGATTCTAGCCTGGATTTCTTTTCCTTGCTTCATGTCTTTTTTTTTTTTTTTTTTGGTTTATTAAAAGATGTGCACTTCATCTATTTATATCAAACTCTGCAATGTTGAGGGTGTTTAGAGATGCTTTTGGATTTCACTAAAATTACAGGTGTGACCAGGAACTTGTACTTTTATTTTCATGCTTTGTGTTTGTTGTTTTTGAGTGATTAAAAGATGTTCACTTCATGTATTTGTTATCACGACTCACGAGACTGCTCCCCATGTGGAAAAATGTTTGCAAAACATATTGACATTTTTATGTTTGAGTGGATGGAACTGAATGCAGTTGATAATATCCTTCTTTACTGATTTCTTCTGGCACAAAGACGGTCAATGTTCAATATATATTAATTTATTTAATTTTAAATATTAAGTTATTGAATAATAATAATAATTCAAACACAAAACAAAGATCTGTTGTACTTGCTGTAAAACAGAGCATGGTGAGATCAATGTGTGGTGTCCTCTGTTTGACCTTTTTATGATAAAGCAAATTACAAAGTTCTTATCAAATTACCTCTTTTTAATTCTGAATTAATGAATTCATTCGTTCTAATGTTTTACGCTATCTGTGTCTTTCCCCTGTTGTTGTTGGATAATGAAAACGGCATCGTACATGTAAGTGACGCAAAATTACCTTTCATATGCGATCGAGGCCTTAACGTCATGCGAGAATTTTGCTTGTAATAAATAATTGTTTTTGAAAATAATGATGATGATAAGATTTCTCTGTTTTCTTTTTGGAATTTTAATTCGTCGCATAAAACCAGATCAACTACGTATACACAAATGGGGAGCAAAAAAAATTTAGGCCATTTTTTAAAACGAGTTCTTCAGTATCTTTTCCAAAATCTTCATTGGTGACAAAAACATTTATAACATTTACAAGATGGATTCTACACAATAATGCAGACACTAAGATCATCCATATCCACTTGCCTTGCTTTCTTTGGAAGACAATATCTCACGTTCACATTAATTTCAGCTTTTAGAATTTGCAAACGGGAGAACTTGGTATCATCAAACACTTTAGAATTTCTCTCTTTCCATGTGTATATAATGAGCCCCTGTTATGCTTATAATTAAGAATGTAATAAAACATGGCATTTGAGATGCTAATATCAAATATACTTTACTTACAGATTGATTCTTTTCAAAGCAGGCATTTTCTCTTCAAGGGCTGCCAATGGTCCCACATTTTCTTAATTTCTCTTTACCACCAAAGGCTTATGTATTTCCAAGGTGATATTTCCAAAACGGTATGGCCTGGAGAAAATGAATTGCCCAAAACTGCACAAATATCACCTTTGCATCTATATATTTTTATAAACTACTCTTTTAATCCTATTTATAAGTCATTTCTAACATGTTTCATAAACTAATAAAAATCTTAAGTTTCATTAACTCTCATTTAAAATTTAATAACTTTCTAATTTTAACCCTATTTAATATGCATTACACCCCTTGAGAACAAAGTCAATATAATAATAAAAAAAGGATAAAGCTATACATTTATATGAAAAATCTCTCTCTTTACTCTATAAATATGACCAAAAAACTTTTTTTCTCTCAGCCTTATAAATAGAATTAAAGGAGAATTAAAACTCTAACAAACCACATTATTGGGAAGCATTATGAAAAACACCATTCATATTTGAGATTTTGCGTGAGATATCCATGTCCCTAACACGCCAAAGAGTTTCTCTAACAGTCACTTTGTTAGAAACAGGGGAGCATAATTAAGGGTATCTATGTCATTTGGAAAGTTCACGGGTAGATTGATTTTTTTTTTTTTGAAAAAAGAATTATCAATTGAAAAAAGAATTATCAAAACAGGGACTATAAAGTTAACACTCCTACCAAACATTGAGTTCACTGCGAAAAATGACAAGAGATGAAAAAACAATTTTTATCTTTGAGTAAAGATAAATCATTAATAATAACAATTTTTTTTTGGGGGGAAAGGTCAACTTATCCTATGTAGTCAGAACAACCGTGCACACACAAATAAGTCATTTCTCATAAAACTTTTTTCTCTTTTTTAATACTAGTTGAATTGATTTTCTATTAAATACTCATTCATTCCTTTTTTTTCCAATGAAGAATAACCAAGAAAGAAGTCCAAGTGTTATAAAAAGTAATGCTTCATAACAAGACATCCCCAAAAGTGAGATTATTTTTCTTTTATGTATATAGATTGCTACATAGCCTCGGACCATCCCTTCACCATCACCGAGGCAGACAAGATGATGTTGGCAGAACATTTGAAGGATGCTTATCTTTTGGGTTTTGATAAGGACTCCATTGAGTATATAAATAGCAAGGGCCTGTTTGGTTCAATTACATATATCTTCTAGGGGTGTTCAAGGCCGGCCCGTCCCGGTCAGCCCGTTCTGGTCCCGGTCTTATTGGGACGGGACGGATCCGTCCCGAAATTTTTCAGGACGGGACAAACCGGGACGGGACAAAAAAGGGACTGGGACGGGACAGGACACGGGACGGGGTCGTCCCGTCCCTGTTCCTTTTTTTTAAAATTTTTTTAATTTTTTAATTTTTTTTATATAATATCATTTTTTTCATATTTTTTTAAGATTTGAGACTATTGTATGGAGCTATGGATATATTTATTTAGAGTTTTTACATTTGTTAATGATTTGAGATTATTGATGATTAGAATTTTTAGCAAGTTTTTATTGTGTTAAAAGCTTTTGTTTAGAGTTTTTAATGACTATTATATGTCATATTTTGAGCTTTTGTTTAAGAGTGCCCAAACAAATAAAAAAGATGTTTTTATAAGATTTAAGCTAAAAAAAATATAATTAAAAAAATAGATTTTTAAAAAATTAAAAAAAATAAAAAAATTTTAAAAAAATAATTTCGGGACGTCCAGGTCTCGTCCCGGATCTGTCCTGTCCCGACCGGGACCGGGACAACCCCGGGACGGGTCGGGACACGGGACAGAAAATCTGTCCCGTTACTGTTTATCGGGATGGAACCAGGACGGGCCTGTCCTGGTCCCGATCCGTCCCGTGAACACCCCTAATATCTTCTATTATGCAATACAATGAGGTGCAATGCAATCCTCATTACCAGCAGAATGTTTAGTATGATATTGGAGATGTGTAAAAGAAAAATTAATTTTTATACTAAATTATATATGTAAACAAATAAAAGACCAAAATATCATCATCCAACCAAAAAAAAAAAAGTTTGCCTTCTCCTTTTGTATTTCTTCAACAACAACAAATAAAATGACAAGGGAAGCATGCCATGACATTAATTTCAATATACAATCAAAATTCATGAAGCACAAGTTTGGCCACAAACTATACGGATTTGGAGCCAATTTTTTGGAAGTAACTAACTAAAACATAAATAATGACAAATCAAACATGGAACTAACTATACAAATCTGGAATCAATTTTTTGGGCCTTTGGCAAAATCAAAACTATTGGTCCTCCTCTTCATACATCCTCTTCAATTGCTTGGTGTTGAGATCGAACTTCAAAAGTGAA